TTCCGATCTCCCCAAAACCCCAAAACCCCTTTGGAAATAATTAGTGCTGAATTAGAAAATAATGAAATTAAGAATTAATTTTAGATACCTCAAATATCATTTTATTTTTCTTATTTATCTAGGCTAGTTAATTTATTTTAATTAGATATTACCTATCTTTTAGGATTTTATTTTTAAACCATCTTATTGATTTCTTCAAGATTTAAGAATATGGAGTTTTTAGATTTTTTCTGCTCTCTAGTTTTAATTGATTCAGGCTTTGTTGAATTATATTTACTTAAAGTAAAACTGTAAGCACTAGATTAGTCTCTTAATATCTCTTCATAAATTTCATTGCTATCAAGTTACAATTACTCTGCACTTTCATTAGTGGCAACACTTGATATGGGTGAGTCCTATTACTCATCATCTTTTCTAAATATATTCAAATATTTATTCCTCGCAACTATGATACCATAGAATATAACTATGCAGAGATTTTTTATGACACTAAGCATAATTAATAGGATAATAAACCAGCCTGCTCCCTTAGCTTCTTCAGGTCCAGTATGTGCTTGGTAAATGTAGATAAAAATCAATACACATATCATGATAATAAATTCATCAATAACACTAGTTGCTTACTAGCTCTCTCTTTTAAATGGTCTGAAAATTATTAGATATGCAATCATTATCATATTTATGAAAATAATTAGCGAGCATTGAAGGACAGGATCGCTAGAGAAATAAACAATAACTCCTGAAATAAGTAGTCTTTAGTACATCATTATCGGGTAATAGTACAGTTATATTATATTGTTACTTCTAACTTCCTCAGTAAGCATTCCAAATCTGCTATTCCAAGAATTTTGTTTAATTTTTTTTCGATTTTGATAGATCACAGTCATTGCTAGGAATGGCAAAAGCAAAGAAATGGCTCCAAAAATAAAAGCAAATAAAGTTGAGATTACTTAGCTAAAATTTCTGAACTTAATGAATTTGGTATTTATTAGTACTTATAAAATTAGTTCAATGTACATCTCTACAAATGTTCTGAGAGGAGCGTTAAAGAAAAATCCTGAGATAATTTCCTCCCAGAATTAAACCTTTTTGCAAATTTTATTAAGTATTAATGTAATTGGTAATATGAGCAATATTCCAATGCACCATAGAGTTAATTTTTATCCAAAAGCAATTACAAAGTAAGGTGAAATGTCATTATTCTTGAATTTTTCATCCAATATATATTAATCATAAGGTTCATTGAGCTAATTTTCATCAATCAATAAGTTTGAAAAATTTGGAATTATGGTATCAAATTCTTCGATATCGCCTGATGCCACTGAAAGATAATCTGAAAATACTGACACATTTTCAGGAAAATCAATATTGATGTAAAGTAAGAAGTTGAATACTTGTAAGGCATGAACAAGTCCCCATAAAAATTGCATTGATGAATTCATTAAAATCTTGAAAGCAATATTGAAACTGCAAACAGAAAGAAAGGAAACTTTTACTGAGGCACCTCCCTCATCTGATACTTTCTTTTCCATCGGAGTAAGATATATAAACAACTGTGGATTTGTAATAATTTAGCTATTCTGCAGAGTATTTCCAGCTGGATCAAAGATTTAAGTCTCATTAATAAATCTTATGCTAATAGTTTCAGTTCCAAACAGAGTTTGTTTAATGTCAAAAAGAATAATTGAGAATCTTTTTATAGGCTTATTTGGGATAATTTTGTTCTAATCCGATACAATTCTCCATTAAAAGTTATACTAAAGCAAACTTCCAGTTATTAATACTTCCATGTTAAAAGGGCTTATTGTGGTTGAATTTTCAATATATATCTCCTCTGTAAATTCTATGAAGATTTGATTTACTGAACTAACAGAGATAATTTAGATTTCAGGCCTGATATTTTCTCTGCAAGTTTAGTTTGGAAATAAGCATTCATAGCCAAACTCCAATTCACATTAATCATTACACCCATCACCAGATATTAGATTACCGTCATCACATTATTTTTCTACAACTATTCCATCTCCACAAATATCCTCACATTCCCCTTCAAGATTAGTTGCGATACCATAGAAATCTTCGCATTTTATACAAATAAAGAGTTAATCATCGAATTCATATCCTAATATACACTATAGACAATCATTGGCATTTGGACCTAAGCATTTTTTGCAAGTTAGATGGCAGTCTTAGCATTATCCACTATGATGACCTTTAATAAGATAGGGAAACCACTCAAAATACTGTTTATCTTTACATTTAGGCACTTTGCACTCAGTTCCAACTAGAAGATAGCCCATCATTGCTACTTAATTTTTCTCATTTTTTGAATACTCTTTTTGACAGCTAAAGCAGTTAGAGTAGCTTGGTCCATAGCATGTGGTACAAAATCTATGGCATTCTATATCAGTTTTAATGTTATGAATGAATTTTTACTTTTACAAATACCCTCATATTTATCTCCATAAAGTCCATCAGGGCATGTTTTCCAGCATCCATTATTGTAAAAAAAGTATCCAAAGTGACATCTTGAGCATTATGATTTTCTATCGGGGCCAGAGCAATACACACATTCTTAAGGACACTTTCTGCAAATTTTGGCAACATCGTCAGCATAGGTTCCTGGAAAGCAGGAGTCTAAGCATTCATTAAAATAGAAGTAAAATCCTTATTTGCACTCCTCGCAAGCATTATAGTCTATATCCCAACAAGCTTAGCACTTAAAATAGCAAGCTAAAAATGAATTAACTAGTTTAAGGAAATCTTACGCCTAACAATAAATGTGAATTTGACAAAAGTTTTTTAATCAGCATTATCTATACCTACATATTCCAAATTATAAGATCCAATATTGACATCATTAGCATAACCTCCAAAAGTGCCATTTGGAAAATTTTTATAAATAAAGTAAGGCAATTGCTTTTTTGAATCTTCCTCTTAGATATAATAGTTGAAATCAATACCTTCGGGATCATATAATACATTTGAAATGTTAATTGACTTTTAAAATGGTGAATTAGCCTAGGCACTTATTACTTTGAGAGGATTAATAATTCTTAATGGCCAGTTTTGTATTATTTCTACTTTGAAATTAAGAAATGAAGGTACTGAAATTGAGTCGTCAAATTAAATTTAAATTGAATGATTGCCTCCATGTGAATTGTTTGATCCCATGATATCCATCAATAGGTTTGCTGAATCCCATTATAGCCATGGAATATTAGCAGGATTATACAAAGTTCCATTGATTAAAATTTTTATTGTAAAGGGTTCTCCAAGTTAATCTGAAAAAAATCCATTGAAATCCAAAGTGATATTTTTGGGGACCAAAAATTTGATATCATCTTAAACCCTATCAATCTTAATCTGAGGTTTAGGTTTTACCTCAAGTGTAAATGTGTAGATATTTGGAGTGCCATCAAAATCATCCTTCAGCTAACAACTAAAGGTGTATGTTCCAGCATATTTATTTTCTCTTGGTGATTAACCACTGATCATCAAGTCTCCTTAAGGGTCTATAGTAGTTGTAATCCAGTTAGTGCTAAAACCAATGCTTGATGAAGTTGTGCAAGTGAATGAAATTGTATCACTCTCTCTATCTGTGACATATGAATATGGAAAGCTGAATTAAAATGATCGTGTGATATAAATTGTGGGAATGACACTTGGAACTGCATGCAAAAGATATGGTGCTAAATTATCTTTAATGGTCAAACTAATGAAATAAGAACGTTTAGTTGCAACATTCCACTCATCCCAAATATTTACTCTAATATGGTACTAAGTTTAAATTCCACTAGTAGGTTAGGGAGGATTTACAACACTGAATGAAATTTAATCTTTATTTGATAAAATTACTGAGAACCAAGGCACAGTTATAGGTGCATTATTCTAATCCAATATTTAAGCT